ACAGCTGAGGCCACGGAGATCATTTAAACTGAAGAACTAGAAGAGCCAGGTGGTAGAATCATCCCATTGCGTGTCATTCGAAGATGAGAACTCTTCAAGCTGACGCCAAAGCTACATGCCCCCTCCCTAGGTGAGAGACCTCTGTGTCCCTTCTGTTGGATTGTCCCAGCCCTGTGAAGGGACAGTCCTTGACTCAATAACTGACTTGATCTAGAAGTACCTGTGCAAGGGACACATCCGGGGAAGGACAGCTGCGTTGTTACATGTGTTGAGAAGACACTGCCATTATTTGGTTCCTGTCAGCGTGGTCATTTAGCAGCTGTACGACCTTGGCCAACCGTGTTGAGTTTCTCTGCTTGGGAACCACGGATGCCCATCCTCAGGGCAGCTCCGCAGCGCACGGCTCTCTTGCAGCAGGATTGTTTGTCTTTAGTACCCAGTCAGAACACTGATATGATATCTCCATGGAGGCAGCACCCCCACCGGGGGATGAGGGAAGCAGGCTGGCTTCAGCTATGGCGGCAGGATGGAAGAGTTTTGCAAGACCTCCATGTGGCAGGCAGAGAGGCCAGCAGGTTCCAGAACTGCCCCATGACTGATCCTTGATGCTATCCCTATCTGGCTGAGACCTTGGGTAGGTCACTGACCTGAAACGGGGTTTTCATTTCGCTTCCTCCTCCAGTGGAGAATTCAAGGCAGAGTATCACGACAACTGACAGAACATAATAGCCAGGTTGTGTTGCGTTTATTGGATCTATAAAATGCTTCTGCCTCTAAAGCCCATGATCTCATCCGAGAGGCCAAAGTCTTCAGGAGATTTTCTTCTATCCTGCTCTCCCGAAGTCCCACTCTCCCGGGCAATGTTTGCCCAACCTCTATAAGGAGCAAGGTGCCCCCTACATAGCAGTGAGCACCGTGTTGGTGCCAGGAAAGTCCAAAAGAACAAAGTGTGACCAGAGCTCACTCTCAAAGTCAGCAAGTTCACTAGGATGGTGAGGAGGGCAAAGACCTCATCTCTGAGGCCTGCCAGTCATCCCAGGGTCACCGGCTTTCTCGTGGCTCTGCTGTAGTGTATCTTCTGCCTACAGCAAACCTGTGTGCCCTGCTGCAAGGGAGAGAGTGCGAGAGAGAGAGAGAGAGAGAGAGAGAGAGAGAGAGAGAGAGAGAGAG